TATACAGTGGATCTAACTCTTCATCAGTATGCATTCACGTACTAGAATCGTCTTGAAACACTAAGACCCATTAAACTTAATATATACTCCCATCCCGAAATACCATCATTAATACTTTATTATAACCAGTATGGCAAAGCCGCTTGCATAATGTACAATTTATAAAACTCAAAACAAGACTGGATTGGTAAAAAAAAATTAAGTGAAACTACCTTCCATTTTTTATCATGGTGTGAACGATGTACAAATAAGCGATAAAAAGTTTATAAAAGGTAAGTCAAAATCAAGACACTAGGCGGAAAAAGAAAAATCTGCCAGGACACTTCAAATCGACCCTGAAATCAGGACATGTCCTGATAAATCAGTACGCCTGATCACCCTACTTGAGGTCAATGCCATTTGAGCCTGTCTATAGTGAGCCTGGGCTATGTACATGATGCACAAACGATATCAGAAGCCTTCCTCTAATATTAGGTTTTCCACAGTCCGAATTACGCTGTCCTGAAACCGTATGCCTTAGTTAAGTTTGAACTTCTTCATAAGGAAAAGTGTTAGGTTTCGTGCAGCTGGAAGTTACTGAGAGGAAAGAAATGAAATGCTTAAGGGCGAGGGGAAGCTTCAATATGGTATAAGTAGAATTTAACACTACCCACTACCTCCTGGTCTAAGGTTGTAATGCGAGTGTTTGTTCGGTAAAATATGACTTGGTTTTACCTTTTAAGGGTTTGTGACCCTCTGGAATCTTTTCTTTACTACGAGTTCAAATACTCACCCAGTTCCCAGTTAAAACTAACGTTACACCATATTTGTTACCCATTTTTGAAGGTTTACTTCTGCAGCACAGCAATTTTAGGCATCAAGTAAACCGTTAGTATTCGCATGTGCTACTAAAAAATCAAAAATTATCGTATTAAAATATCCCCCAAAAAGCAAAATGCAGATATAATAAATTTCTATATTTTATATATCCTGAGTCATATACAGGAATATCTAAAATACCTTGTAAAGTAACTATGTATGTACATTAGGGTTTTATTATTTCGAAACAGGTTAATATTTAACCGTGTCGTCGGGCTTGTAAAATAGTTAAAAACAAATATTTATTTTATCGAATAAAAATATTTCCCTTCAAAAATCGTTATTTAATAGAATTATGACCTACCACTTTATAAAAAAGTGCATTAAAAATTAAAAACTAAGCGTTGACTTTTTCTTAAAATTTCAGAATTTTACTTGCTTTATTCAAATAAACTTAAGTAAGACGATTGTTACGAAAACATAAAATAACTAATTTTAGTAAATTAGATTATCGGTCAAGAAAAAGTAGTTACTAAAATTTTAGCGTTAATCGTTTTTTTTTTGTATGAAGATTTCTGAACAATAATGTTTTTATTCAATTAAAAAATGGTTACTTTCAACCATTTTATACAAATTACATATCGTCACTTAAGGATGAAATGTAGTTTCGTATTACCTGCCATTCCGCATCAAAAACTAAATTTTGAAATAAAAAACGGACGTGGCAGCTTTTCACCTTTAGTAGCGATATACATATGTACACATGCTAAACTTACAATACCTGACGGCACGGTCAAATATTATCCGATTTCAAACTCATTATTTTCGATATTCTTTTGTTCTGCCGGTTGGCTGGGGGAAAAATGTTGACCACCCTAATGTACATATATATGTAGATATGATGTACATATGTATTTTGTTCTAGCATAAATCCTAACGCAGGACTACGGCAGCTTTTGTTTGACAACGAAAGCTCATAAACTTTGCGCACTTCATTTCATAAAGCTTTCATTCCACAATAAAGCTCACAAACACAGTAAACTTCCAATAAAAGCTTCAGGCGCTTTATTGAACTTGGTTGATACTCATTTTCTACCCTATACAACTACAACACCTTATAGCTTAAAGCGAAACCCACTTCACGCCCGGCTTTATAATTGCCATCGCTGTTGAAAATCACCACCAAAGGTCCGGGGTTGTTGCCTACAATAAAAATTAATCAAAGTACTAATATTTAGAAGAAATACGCTGGATGAACAAATACAATTTTACTTGTGATTGTGTCGCCCTGTATGCTGCTGCCGCAAAAATATGTGGCACGTATGTTGCTGTCCACAATGGTAGCCTGCGGTATCAGCAGATAGTCTTCACTTAAACCCTCGCTATGTAACTGCGGTCGGCAATAATTGTCCAGTTCCTGGAACTTCTGGTGGCTGTATTCGGCACCCAAACGAAAGTAGCGCACCTTGACCCTGAAAGTAGATTTACTGTTATTAGCAAAGAAGTAGTGAATACATTTCTTTTGCGGTCTACTCAAGTAGTTTAGTAGAGTGCTGACGCCGGAAGCAGATTGCATAGTTTAAGTTTCCTGGATACACGCCCACGCCACCGTTATAATTGAACGAGGTGATGGTGCCCGCTGACTGAGGATAATATTGCAAACAGCCCGGTGGCGCTATGAGGAAATCATCACTGAAGCTGGCGCGTGGCTCTATGGCTCGCATAATCCTCTCATTATCCCCGTCCGTAGTATCATCGTTGTCCTGCGCAAAATCCACGGCGCTCCGTTGCGCCGCACCCGCTGTACACTCCAGCTGCTTCACCACCATATTCCAACGCGGCGTGGGTAATTTTCCATTGCTGCCCACGCGTGCCGCTAAAACAATACCCAGATCGATGTTCTTCACGCCGGCGGTGCGATTGAAGGGCACATAAATGTGTTGCGCCACCTCCGAGCCACAGAATCGCAGCCCATTTACCGCGAAGTAGTCTCGCACACACTGCACATACCACAGGCCATTTAGGGCATCGGGCACACTGGGCTGGGCGAGTGTCAACGAAAAATCGATGCGTAGCTGGCAAACATTGCTGCTGTAGGCGTTGATGTAGTAGATGCATTCGCGCGGTGGGTTCGCCGGCTGCACCAGTTGGATGTGCTTGGCTGCGGTGCTGGCGCCGCAATTGGGCTTGGCTGCGGCGGCGTATGCGACAGGTGTGCCGCAAATTATGAGCAGCAAGGAGGTGAAAAGTAGGCTATTGATGGGTGCGTTTGGCTGCATTTTGGAGTGTTGGAGAAGCGCGTGCGTTGATCGATGGGATCTGGAGTTAAATAAGTTATCATTTGCGCGTTGTATTTATATGTTTAGTTGCTAATAGCTTGAAAAATAATTTGTTACTATTCTCCAGCAAAGTGTGAGTCACTTTTTATTGTCCTACGTCCACCAACCGCAATCAGAAAATGATGTTTAAATATAATGTTGTGTTAGACCGTTATCGGCAGTGTAGTTGTTTGCTTACATTTATTTCGAAAAACATTGAGAATTCTTTCTAATGCAAAAGATGTTTAACAAAAAATGCATAGATAAGATAGTATAGGAGGTATCTGAGTTATCACTTTATATGCTGGTTTTCATCGGCGCTGGTAAAAAAAAAATGTTTCGATTTGCTATCAAATTAGGAGTGATAAATTTCCCAAAATTTGGTACTCAAAATTGTACGGCATCAAATATTTTTTTTCATAGCATGGAACATTGTGTTTTCTTATGAAATAATAAATAGTCAACAAAGCATACTAGTTTTTCTCAGTTAATTCCGTTCGCTACTTGTGTAATGTTGTTCCACTTTAAGTTCGTAGTTTTCTTGCTTTCGGTTTTTGCGTCATTGGAGTTGTCGCTGACGCAGATATGTAAGTAAATGTAGTGCAAATGAAAGAAGGCGAAAGTATCTATGATTGTAGAACGAAATATGAATGTGTTCCTTCATTTTTAAAGTGAGCTTTAAACCCGTATCAATTACGTAGCGAATTCTGAAAACTCGTGTTTTTTGTACTGTACGTACATATAGCATTAGCTCTTATTTATTTTTTTAATTTAATTGCATCGATCATAATTTTAGAAAGCTCCGCATTATCTGTCCTTCTTCCTAAACACGTGCCAATAACACGTTCACCGGTTGTATGCAGTTAAAGATAGTTTAATGTGCAGAAGTGATCTGGAATCTCAGTCAACGGTTAAACCTCGAATCTAGGTTTGTATGTTTTTTTTTTCGGAACAAACACAAATCAACGCATGCAGAAGACCACCCAGTCGATATGCCGTCCATTGCACTGCTTTCCTGAACCCTTTTAATCTCTTCTAAATCCATATAATTTACGAATACATAGAGCGGATGGTTGGGTGTAAAAGAGCTCAGGTGTTTGTCTCTCAACACATCGGTGCCAGCAGCCAACCTCTTCAAGGCAAGAAGGACAAATGTTGTAGTCATTTACCCCAGTCTCAGTCGGTTGTTTATGAAACGAGTAGTGGCCAGTCAACCGCCTCCATTATTTGCCTGCAGTCTTATCTGCTCAATGAAGGCAAGAACCTAGTAAAACCTTATGAATTTGATCCTGCATCCCCCATTCGAAGCCTCTCCGTCATTACTGAGCGAAATATTCATCAGATTCTCATGGCGGCTTTGATGACCGAAAGAGGGCCATGTTATAACTTTTACGAGCCCTCTCTGGCTAAATGGTCAGATGATTCCCAGGTACTCCTGAGTGACCTGGCACCGAGAGGAAAAATTTTATAATTTATTGGAGAATGACACTAGTTTGGAGGTATTTAGAGTGCTGGCCAATGCTTAGAGTACAGCTTGGCTGTCACCATAGACTCGTCAACTCCTGCTTATCCACCTATTTTCCACAACTTAGTCCATGACCTCATCTTAAAATACCCAACGTATGTTCCCCAAGAGAAAAGTGAAGTTTGTTCCTGTTACTTTCGACATAGACCCCAGATCCTAACCCTGAGTCAATTTTGGAGCCATCAGTAAATATTATACAATATTATAATATATTATATTGGGATTAAGCAAACCCTCAGTCTCAGAGACGCATAAAGGCTTGCCAGTGGGCTACAATGATTTATAGACGTAGTCATTTGTCCTACAATGAGGGAGTAGGAATCGTGTCGAGTAAACATTTTCAGAGTTCCTTCTCTGAAATGAGAAAGCCTATAGAAATTCGCTTAGCTAAAGCAAAACATGGTATGATTTATATGCAATTTATTTACTTGTAAATTTGTCTACCTCGACAACATCCTAGTTTGTTCTTCTTTTAATTTTGCAGCAAGCTTGCAGTGTGGCCAAACCTCTCGTTTCAAGCGCACTGTCATTCGAAGTCCCAGCCAATCACTCTCAACTTCCTCATGCCAATACACGATTCGACGTTATAGCAACAATGTTTGCCAATTACTCGTACAATTTCAACGTTTTGAGTTGCCACAACCGACAGCGGACTCCATTACGAACACCTTGACATGCACAGACTCTTTTACAGCTGGCCGTTTTACCTTATGTGGCGACAATACCGGTCAACACATTTACTTGCCATTCACTGCGGATGCCACAGTACTAGATTTTAATATTCTATCGCGTTCGACACAAACCGCTTGGCATTTGATTGTGGAGCAACTGGAGTGTCCACCTTCGCATAGTCACCTAGCTGACGGGTTACCGCCACTCATCGGCGGCGTGGTGAATAATCTGCTGGACTGGCGTAACCTGTTTTCGCGATTTATCAATGATTTAGAGTTGCTGGCACCCGCTGGCTGTGATCAATACTACACTAAGCCAGAAGGAGTCATTAGCAGCTTCAATTTCCGCGATGGCATAAATACTTACTACATGTCCAATCTGAAGTATACGATTTGTATTAAGGCCGCTACGGGTGCCAAAGATATTGAGTAAGTTCGAAGAAGAAAATATGAAAGTTTGGTCACTGATTATTAATTGTTTTTGTTCGCTTAAGGTATACTGTGAAAAAGTTTTCGCTGTCGTTCGAGTTGCCTAACGAATACTACAACGATGCCTGTCGTCCGCCCATTGCCACGGAAGGACGTCAAAGCGATTATCTTATGTTACCTAATTCAAACTTTGCGGATAATACAGCACGTCAACCAACCTACTTTTGTGGTCAAGGGCTGGCAGCCGGACAAGTTTTATTGGGTCAGATTTTGATTCTTCTTATTATTCTAAATAAAAAACATTTTTTCTCTATTTTTCAGGCTCTGGACCCTTTGTGTTGTATTTCTCTAGCGATGAACAATGGAGTCCCATAGAAACTGGTTTCAGCATTGAATATCGCATTAAAGCTTTAAGCTAAATTATAAAATCCGTAACAGTACTCCAAGCGAGTTGAAAATAATTTATCCATTTTATGAAGCCCACAAAATTGTATACTCAATTAAGAGCCATTCGACCTTTTTGCCAATAAATGATTTCAAGAGTAAGAATAGAGTACTAAATATGCATTTTCAAAAACGAGCCACAATTTAGTTTTTACAGCAGAAGGGTTAACTTTGGCGTGGTGATGTACGTAATCCGGGTGCTCATATTTTAAAGTTATATAGGTGAAATTACTGGGAGGCAGTCATTTTTAAATCCTAGTACACAGTTTTATGTTAACTATTTTAGAACCGTGGCTAATGATCTTGATTTTTCGAAAATTTTAAATTGAGGTGGTCGGTGGTATGTGTTGAGCAAGGTGTCCACTGTTTCGGGGGATACCCTGCAGTCTTACTGGAATATTCCAGGATATGTCACACTGCTCGAATTTATCTTTAGGTTTTTTTATCCACAGATAGATAGCGGCTATACTTGTAGCTCAAGGACCTTAGTGCATAGTACTTCAGCCTTCACTGTTAAATGCGTCGCGTAATCGAGAGTATTTTCAGTTATGCAACCGTATTCTAACAAAGTCACAAACCTTAGCTTATCACTCCTGTGATTTTTACCGCGCCTTGAAGTTTGCCGCTGCAAAATATACGCCACTACTACTCTGCGGATTTTTATGCAGAAAATGGAGCGTAAAAATATTTACCACTTAACTATAAACAAATTGTATACAAATTCATACACTTTGCCAGGGGCGGATCCAGCGGGGGGATTTTGGGGGTTAAACTACGTGTCAGTCAGTGGCGGACCCTCGGGGGGTGTTTTAATACATAGACTATTATACATACATATGCGCCATATTAAAACACGTAGTTTAACACCCAAAACCCCCCGCTGGATCCGCCACTGCACTTTGCTTATAGTTATGTGGTACAAAATATTTCTAGGCTCCGTATTTTCCATAAAAATCTGCAGTGTAGTCACAGCAACAAAAATTTTTAAATTTTTGTGTATTTTTCTAGCACTCAAAATCGAATTTTTATGGCACATTTTGTGGCGCACTAGAAACCACAACGGTGATGAGGTAAGTTTTGTGACTATTAGAATAGAGAGGATGGTTTCTAAAGTTGGAAGAAGTAAACTGTTGAAAGAATTAGGCCAACGAACAGTGATATTTTCTGCCCAAATTTTGGGGTTTTAATTCCTTCGGTTGCCTAAAGTGCTGTTTCAGCTATCGAAGTATGTCCAAGACAGGTCCCGACCTTTTGCACCTGTTTCTATGATAAGTGGTAAAGTGTTTGTTGAGGAAGCTCTCTGCAAGGTAAAAATATAATGCTAAAGCTTAAAGTTTTGCAAAATGGGGTTTTTCTTCTGCATATGAGCTCTACATAAGGTTTAAATTAAAATTTTTTTAATATGTTCAACTCATTAGTATATGAAATGAAATATTCAAGTGAGTTTTTTAATTACAACAGTTTAAAGAAAAGGTCAGAAGTCATTTCCTCCAAGTATCACCAATAAAAAAATTATTTTTATTTCAAGATAATTATATTTTAAACTACCTTCTATAAATAAATACGCCACAAGAAAATTTTGCAATCCCTTTTTTAAAAGCACCGTCCGCTCGATTTCAATGAAACATACACCGATACATAGGTGGCGTGGCATCTGACATATAGACTAAAATGTGAAAACCGCTATATCTCTAAAACCAATTATGCTGGGGAACTGAAACTTAGCACGGATGTATAGATTGTAAATATCCTACTTACGGTGAAAAATGGTAGGTACTGGGAAATTGGGCGTAGCACTTTCCATACAAACTGAAATTCTCATATCGCTTATCTCTGGAACCGCTTATGCTAACGTCCCGAAAATTGACACAACAACATATGTTGCCAATACCGTACTTATGGCGAAGAGTGGTAGATTTTGGAAAAGGGGGCATGGCACCGCCCATACGAACTTGAATTCTGATATCGGTTATCTCTGGGACCACTTATTATAAAGTAATGGAATTTTATACATGTATATTTATACACATATAAAATCGCAAAAATTTTTCAATTTGGAACCATTTTCTCCCAGATTTGAAAATCTCATTGAATTATTGTTGTTTTGTGCAAAAGTTTTTAGAAGGATCAGTGTGTTTGTCTTCCGATAGGTGGCGCAGGGATTGAGAGCTATCAAAAAACATATTTATGATCAGATTTGCTTCACTTTTAGAACACATATTAGTAAATTCGCCTGTAAATTCGCCATAAATTATACTGGTGGACTTCCAAATAGTAATTAGCATAAAGTTCGTTAGTATTGGTGACAGGTAAAATTCAAAAGTGTATGTAAAAGGATATCGAATTTCGACAACTGGGCGATACTAGTAATACTTAATATTGAATCCGACCATATCCGACCTTTTGTTTAAGACACGATTTTGTACTATATAATATTGAAAGTTTTTCTGAACATGATTTTTTTTATTAACTGTTTTCAACTAATTTCATGTAACATTTAACAAATAAAAAAAAAAGTTAAAAAACGTAATATAATATTTTTCAAATTAATTTGAGGCGCCATATTAGATCGGCTATTTTGTTTTTAGTTACTTTGATTTCAAAAATACTTGAATTTAGCGACCCCAATAACTTTTAAATAATATAATAATAAGCCATTCTTGCCAATATTTTTAACGTAAATTATTGTGTTTAAGATTTGGGATCGGTCACTTTGGTTGGTTTTAGTTAATTTGACTTCAGATTCGAATTAAGGACCTCAAAAGCTCATGAAAACCTGAATTCATATCAACATATTCATTGTATAAATTCTGGGCACAAAATGGGTATGAAATATCGCTGTGCGTTAATACAAATCGCAGTCAAGCCAAAAAAAAATATTCGCTATTCTTTTGAGAATTGTTGTTAGCAATTCGTTATGATCTTGATCATTTTCGCCACCAGAATTGAGTGCTGAAACGGCAAACTCTACACAATTCTCTTTTAGTAAAACTAATATTTGATTAACATTTTAAAGTGTAAACATTTTCTAATTTAAAAATTCCCACTAACAGAGTTTGTGAGCCAAAACAAAACAAAGCGAAGCCAATTAGTAGCACAAATCAAGCAAGTCAATGGGTGTGAAATGGCTTAGGAAGAAAGCTCATTGAACCGCTTATTGGATGTGGAAGATATGGTTAGTTGAAAGCATCACAAATTTATTGCTCCAATAGCAACTGCGAAGCATTTCGAAAAAATTGTGCAAATAAAGCAGAAATTGTGCATACCTAAATCTATGTGTCCCAGAACACTTGATTTAAGTTTAAGATATTCGGATTCTTTGACAAGTTTGCATTTTACTTTCGAGCACTTAAAGCGCTGGTAAATATTTACAGACTGAGCGTGTTGTTTGTGCAAACAAGTGTAAGTACGAGTATGTGTGTGTGTGTGTGTGTGTGTGTGTGTAAAGTGCGCGCAACCGAGCGAAATAACGTCTACAGACGAGTATGTACTTTCTTAGCAATTTTTTCAAAGTAACTAGACAAGATCGAGCCGATCGCTCGGCAGTCTGGTCATATCAACGACCACATGATCGGTGAAACGAGCTGTCGTCAGCATCAAAGAATGGCTTCTAATGCGCAGTGTTGAACGGTTTGTCTTTCACCGCTACACATCGATCTATAAAATGAGTGTTTCGGATAAGTAACGGCACAGTTTGCGGTACGTGCGCGTGCGTTCTGAGTGTGGTATACTACATATGCAGTGAGCTTCGGACGGTTGATTGGGAATAGATATTTGTGTATATTATTCAGTAACTAACACAACGCGTCATTAGTAAAGGAAGCGAATCTGATTACAGAAATAAGTGAAAATTTAAAAAATATATAAATAAAATATAAGAAGTGCAAAAGTACAAACTTAACACACAACTGGTATTAGTAAAGCGAAAATAATTAAAATAATCTTCAAAAAAATATGAATTCCTCGTCCATCAGATCAGCGCTTTTGTATTCTGCTTTATTAGTGTTAATAGCTAGTCCTGGCGTATTTAATGCCGTGTGGAATGAGAATATCCTCTACCACAACCCTAACGTCAGCTATGTTTATTCGAATACGCCGTATGAGGAGGCGCAAGAACCACCAAGCATTTACCGACAGTCGCGCCGCAATCCGTTGATCGATGCCTGCACCACAAACGAGGGCACTTCGGGTACATGTCTAACGCGGTTCAATTGCATGCGTCAAGGCGGCACACCGAAAGGATTCTGCACCAGTTATGGCGTGTGTTGTGAGAGTGAGTGAGATGAAACTGCATAATTGTGTTAGGTGTTACATTTGATATGACTACCATTGTGTTGTTCGCTAGTTGCACCAAAAAATAATAAATACTCGTTTAAGCGCCAAATTAGAAACTTTTTGACATAAAGAAGTCAGTGTGTCCAAAATTCGCAAGGCACAGCACATTTTTGTTCATTGTAAGAAATAAAAAATCTGAAAATTGTTCATCCTTAAACCAAATTTAGTTATACAATAAATTACATTTTTGAAACGTTAATGAAAACAACAAAAGTTTTAAGATTACGTTTCTTTCAAACAAGTGTAAAGAATTATAAGGAATATTTGTACAGGACACGCGGGACTCTGCGGGACACTCGTAAAATTCTCAGTTTTATAAATTGAAATTTTCACCACTTTTGTATGTGGGGCATAATTTTTGCATGCCAATTCACGCCTATTCTCTGAAATTTCATGAAATTTGGATATTCCGGATATAAGACTTGTTGATGTCCATAGACCAAAATCTATGATGAAGTTTAATTAATTTCCGTTGTTGTTGTAAAAAATTAAAGATTTATTTCTGTGCTTATAAATATACATAATCATGAAGAAAACAATATTTACATTATAGTTGGAGATCCGACAAGGGCACGACCTTCACCTTCTGTTAAATGAATGAAATCTATTTTGTATGAAATTTAATGTGTTAGGAAATACT